AAAATAACATCTCCAAATAAATCATAATCCAACTTGGATCTACCATCCCTCCAAAAGAAATTTGCCATTCTATTTTCTAGATCCACTTGCACTAAATAGAAAAATAGGGGATCTTGAGCTTGCTTATGCTTGAAGTGATTCACAACACTTTGACCATCCCCAACTTGTATCATCACATTTCTCATAGAATGCAAGTAATTATGGCACTCTTTTTGAGTAAATCCAACATGCTGCATCCCACCAGATTCTTTTGCTAAGAAATGGTAAGATTTTGATGGTTTTATGCCTACACTTTCCATTGAACTTAATACACAAGCCTGTGCTTCTAGTATTTTTCTCCTAGATCTTAAATTGTGTCTTTTTTCATGGTCTGCAAGCTCATGGTTGTGCATACATTGAAGTGAGTAACTTCCCAAATTCCATTTGTCATAGTGAACTGAATTCTAGCCTTGCATCCTGTTCTTGTATCTAAATTATTAATCTTTTTCACATTACAAAAATCTTCATTCCTTCGAAACCCTTCTTTGTATATTCTCATTGTTGGAGAACACTATTAACATAATGCATATTCTCTTTTCTAATACTAAAACCCTTGTTTAAAGAATATTTATTATAAAGACAATATGTTTCCTCTTCAAAACAAACTTTTATACCAACACTAATCTTATCATCAAACTGGTTGAGATTTCTAAGTGCAACAACTTGTTTAGTACTTGAAGCCATAGTACAATCTAATTTTGTAAAAAAAAAAATAATGATGATAATTCTAATATATTATACTAATATTATACTAATAGAAGCATCAAAACCTTAGAGCTAACTAACTCTACACTAATAGTTACAAAAATTTTGTTCAAGAGCTACTAATATAGGGAAATACTTGATAACCAAATGAGTATATCTTCAACAGCACAAGGCACCAAATAATTCAATATAAAATTGATTGTTGGTGCTAGATAGAGAACCAGTTTTAGTTGGTAGAATTCTATAGAAGAATACTGGATACAAATCACCTCAAAGGCTAAAACACAAAAGCAAAGAATGGGAAATGATGGACCCGAAGGCAAAAAATTGTAGAGAGTGGGAAATGCATAAAGAAATATATGAATAATTAATTTTAGTGTGCAGCCTTCACTATCATCGTTAAAGTCTTAAATAACATTAATAGAGAGATAGATTTTTGTTAAATACAATTCTCCGTTTCACTTAGATGATGTGTTTTCTGAGTTAATGATGTGTGATATTTTTATTGGACGGAGATACCACATCAGTGGTATCCTCGTAATATTCTAGAATTTCTCCTAAGTAACCTCAGATCAAATCTTAGTGATGCCTAAAAATAGCTTAATCCCTGGTTGCCATAAGTCACCCTATATTTGAGGTGACATGTAGTGTCATAAATTTATGATTTAATACTTTTGCAAACTCAAATATAGAAAGGCTATAGCTAGACCAAAAAGACTAAAATTTACTAATGACCTTTCTTTAGAGTTTATATATAATCATTTTTATAGCTGTATCATATAACTTCTAGAAGAAATTATGCGTATTAATTACAAACAAAAAAATTATGCATATTAAAGTTTTAATTGGTGTCAAGTTATGTGAGTACTTGTTAAGTTACACCCAAGGGATTCAACACCACTTAATATGAAGTAAGATTAAAGGTCAAAGGAAGGAACTTGAGAGTTGGAACCATGTGTGGCCTGGTGCACTAGCCGAGGTACAATATTCCTGTATGGATCTTTTTCTCTTTTCTGCTTCAAATAAGCAATGCAGCTCTCTACCTCAGACTTTATATGTAAATACAGTTGATGACATTTCTCCTCGTCTCTCAGTTAATGTTAAGAAACCAAGGATTCTAGAGAAGATGAAAATGGAATGAAAATCAAACTCACGTTAAAATGAAAATAAACTAGCTTTTAAGTAGGCTTTACAAAATAACTTTATCTAAAAAGATAACTAACCAATAAGTCCAACTTATCTAATCTATTTTAAATGATAACAACCTAAATAATAGGAAAAACAAATAAACAACTTAAACTTCCTAAATTATAGAGATAATGGCTAAAAACTATGATATACTTTCCAATAATCCCTCCCTTAAACTAAAAGTCTTCGGACTTTAGTTTATAGAAATCTAGAAAACACCATGTCTGTAATTTGAATCTGCAGACCCTCCCTCAAGCTGAATTCTAGATGCTTCAAACACTAAGTAACTCTCTTAGTCTTGAAAAAGTTGCTAATTTGAGGGTTTTTGTGAATATATCAGCAACTTGATCTTCTGTTCTACAATAAGTCAACTTAATTGTTCCATCTTCTACTAAGTTGCGTGAGAAATGATATCTCACATGTATATGCTTGCTTCTCCCATGCAGAATTGGATTTCTAGAAAGCTTGATATATAGCTAAATTATTGTCACAATAAATTGAAATGGCCTTATGTTGATTCATCTCAAGTTCTTCTAGAACTCTTCTCAACCAAATAGCTTGACAAGCACATGAAGTCATTGCCACATACTTTGCTTTTGTTGTGGACAAAGTCATAATGGGTTACTTCTTTGAAGACCATGAAACTACACTAGATCCCAATATAAAGACATACCCAGAAGTGCTTTTTTTATCATTTAAATCTCCAACATAATCACTGTTTATAAAACCTACCAGATTTATCTAGTCACCCTTCTTGTAAAATAGTCCAAAATCTGCAGTTCCATGTAAATACCTAAGAATTCTTTTAACAGTCTGCAAGTGCAACCCCTTTGAATGCTCCAGACATCTGCTAATCAGACTTACACCATGCATTATGTCTGGTCTTGTTGCTGTC